TCTGTGTACAATATTACAAAGATAAATAATGTGTCTTCGACAACAAATACTTTTAATTGGGATTTAAGAATTGATAATCAGTATTTGACAATAAAAAATAGATACAAAATACTAGTAACAGCAATGGATTACCGAGGTTGCTTAGGTATTCCAGGTGGCTTTACTGTTATTAATACAAGCAAAGATAAAACATTGAATAAAAATACTATGGTATATATTAAAAAAATATTAATAATTAAAATGTATATAATATAAAATTTATATAATACAATTATGTTGCAGTGGTTGCTACTGACTGGTATTGTCATTTGTTTTATATTAGGATTTATTATTACATCAATATGTAATAAAAATGGATATCATCTTATATCATCTAGACGGTAAAAGATTATAGAACTATTTTTATAACTTATTTATATATATAATAATTATTTCATTATAACAAACATTTATTTTTTAAGGAGACAAATGATATCTGATCTTTCTGCTTGTAAGCTGGCTCAATGGCCAGATCTAGTTTTTCAGAGACGTAATATTGATGCATATGTCGAACAAAGATTTGAGGTAAGTGGAAAATTAAGTAATTAAAGATTTTAAATGTTAAAAGCATTTATAAAATTTCTTATAGAAGACATATTACAAAGTGCAGAATGATGAATTTGAAATACCATATAAATGTATAAATTTTATACATGAATTAGGAAAAGGACAATTTGGCACAGTATATCTAGGTAATTTAAACAACAATAAGGACATATTAATAGCTATTAAAATGTCACAATGTTCTGATGTATATAACGAATCTGAAGCTAGACATCAACTATTGGAAGAAATCAAAATAATGAAAGCAGCTGGTTCTCATACACATTTAGTGAATCTTATAGGTTGCTGCACTTTACCAAATAATCCTATATGCATACTTTTAGAATATATGGAAGGTGGAGATTTACTTGCATATTTACATCACAGAAGAAAGATTAAATCAAATGATATATCTTTGTGCAATTTTGAAAAAATTGTATTTAGATATGCAAATATTATCAAAAGAAATAAATTTAATAATGAACATTTACATGGTGTAATTAAAGAGCTACAATTTATTAAATTTGCTCTTGATATTGCCAAAGGAATGGAACATTTAGAAGCTAAAAAAATTATACATAGAGATTTGGCAGCAAGAAATATTCTTCTTACTTCAGATTTAACACTAAAGGTAATAAATATTTGTATTACAATTATTTAAAAAACATAACTTAAGAAATTATACAAATTTATTTTGAATTTAGATTTCTGATTTTGGCTTATCACGGAATGGAATATATGTAATAAATAATATAGCTAGTAAAATTCGTCAACTTCCAATACGTTGGATGTCACCAGAAGCTATACGTGATCATGCTTTCTCTTCAAAAAGTGATGTTTGGTCATTTGGTATTGTACTCTGGGAAATTGGAACCTTAGGTTCTTTTCCATATGCTGATATACATGATAACGAATTGTTACATTATTTAACTCAGGACAAGTGTCATTTAGCTTGTCCTGATACAATTTTTCAAGATATATATAAAATAATGTGTTCTTGTTGGAATATAATGCCGCAAGATAGACCTAGTTTTGCACAACTTGTTTTAGACCTGCAGATATTAAAAAAATCTTTATATACTATACATGAAACTAATAATCCTTGTTATGCATTGTTATCACACTAGTATAATCAGTTAAAATCACTTGATACATAAATATATGTGTGTGTGTGTGTGTATATATATATATATATATATATATATATATATATA